TAGATTTGGTCCTGGAGATCTTCGTTGTCGCTGTTGGCTGCCAGTTCCATGTCGGGCTTTAGGTCTCGGGGCAGGCTGAACACGAAGGCGTAGTTCAGGACGTAGCGCTTCAGCTCCTCGGTGGGGAAGCCCCCGGCGTGCTTCCACGCGCATTGCAGCGCCGGGCGCCAGCTGCTCATGTCCGTCGTGCGGAGGTGGCCGACGTACGGGACGGCTTCGGTGGCCTCGTGTGGGTTGCTGGTCCAGGGACAGAAGAGCAGCAGGATCTTCATGATGTGCTCCTCCTCGCTGCGGCTGCCGAGCGCACCGTAGAGGACCGGCACGTGCGGCCGCTTGCGGGGGACGATGACCCAGTCGTGGCGATGCTTCCGCACGCGGTTGCCGTTGCCCAGCGGCATCCAGTTTTCCCCGCCTTGTTCTCGGATCAGGTAGTCCGTGCCGCCCTGCAGAAGTCGACGTCCGAGTTTCTTGCCGAGCTGCTCCTTGCCTTTGTCCGTCAGCAGGGCGTGGTAGGCGATGTCGTTGTCGGCGGCTGCTTCGCGATCAGCGGCGGCGGCCTCCTCCTGCTGCTTTAGGGACTATGGATACCTGACTGGCTGGATGTGGTAGTACCGCGCGAACTCGAAGGCCGAGAGGGGCTGCACTCTGGGGTCCGTGCCGCGGTTGCCGTAGACGGTCCACAGCTGTGGCTGGGCGACGAGCTTCCTTTTGCTTTTGTTGCCGGGTCTGTCGACCCACCCACTGAGGTCGCTCTGGCTCTTTGCGCGCTCTGTCGGCAGCGGCCGGCCTTCGGTGGCGGCTTGCATGAGCTCGAGGCCCATCTGGAGGGACATGTCCGCGAGTGCTGCGGTCTTGGTGGTTTCCGCGGCGGTGGGGTCGCTGTGGCCGGCGTTGTCGATGAGGTTGGTGCACTCCACGGAGCCTCGGACCACGCCCCGGGCGAAGGCGTCCGTCATGAGGCGCTTCGAGGCCCTGGCTCCCACGTAGCCGGCGGAGGAGTTGTCCCGCAGTTCTGTCTCCAGGTCCTTGTGGCTCTTGTTCCACTCTTGGACCTCGTTGACCGCGCTGGGGTTCCGCTTGTTCTGGTAGTCGCATGCATAGCCCGCCTGCGCCGCTTGGTTCAGCTGGGCCTGGTAGGTCATCTCCCGCAGGCTGCTCTTCGTCGGGCAGTCTCGCGTGCAGCGGCCGGCGGCGTCGTGCAGGTCCTCGTGATCGGGAAGCGGTAGGGCAGCTGGACGTCGCCGTTGCAGCGCAGGGCGGCCAGCAGCGCGGGGTGGTTGCCGTTGAGGTTCGGGTCGTTGCAAGGCCCCCAGAGACGGCCGAGGGCGCTGCGCTTGCCCTTGACCGGCATGCCCATCTTTTCTGCGAGTCCCTCGCACCCGAGTGTCGTGCTGTCCACCAGCTGCTTCTCGCGAGGGAAGCCTGCCTTGCACTTCGTGGGGTCTTTCTTGTCGCGGCAGTGGTCGAGCGGCAGCCGCGGACCGTTCGTCGTCTTGGGGAGGTGCACGTGATGTTGCTTCAGCTGCTGCAGGGCCTCCACGTCCTCGTCGAGATAGAGCCGTCGCCAGGTCGTGGCGTCCGTGGACGCGTCTGTGCTCTGGTAGTGCGGGCGGCTCAGGGCCAGGTAGGAGTCGCGGTAGGCGGGCCACTGCTCCTCCGTTTCCGGGCGCGTCTTCTCCCAGGTTTGCGGGTCCCGGTAGATGGTGCGGCTGACGTGGGCCGTGTAGGTGCAGTACTTCTGGAAGAGTTCTTGCTTGCGTGCGGGACCCAGGGCCTGCAGCTCCGCGAGGGACTTGAACTGGTGGAAGCACTGGAGGAAGAGCTGCACAGGGGGCGGCGGTGGCTTCGGTGTCGCATGGCCTTTCGTTGGTTGTCTCTCATGACTGTGCCGGCGTGCCTGGAAGTGGACGTGCAGCACCCCGGACTTCTGGCTTTCGATGGACCCGAACGCGGCGTCGATGCGGCCGAAGATCCCGCCGCAGGCCATGGCGTTGCTGCCGAAGGCGTCCGCGCAGGGTGTTTTGGACTTGCTGCAATTCGGGCACTGGGGGCAGTATCGGACGCCGAAGAGGTGGCGCAGCGCGAGCTGCACGAGGGTGCGGAAGCCGTCGGCGCAGGCCACGGGATCCTTGGTGAGCATGGCCCGGCGAGCGTCGTAGGGCGGCAGCTCGGCGGCGAGGGCTTCTGGGTTGAGGCTGTAGAACTCCACGTCCAGCTCCGGCTTGCTGCGGCCCTGGGCTCCTCGGGTGGTGGTGTCCTCTGGGCCGAGGCTGGGGTCGGACTGCCGGGCGCGGGCCAGGCGCAGCATCACCGTGCTGTCGCGCTCTGAGGGGGAGAAGGTCACGAAGATCGGGGTGCCGTGGCATATCCGATTGGCGTGGGGTTGGAGGCGCATGGTCTTGCGCACCTCGTGCGTGCCCGGGATGTTTCGACTGCGCGCCTCCGTGTTGTCCAGGACCTGGCACCGCTGTCGGGCTTGCTTTGGGCACTCGTTGTAACCTGGCTCTTGGTAGCTTGCCTGCTCCGAGTGTGGCCTTCGACGGCGCGCGTCACGGCACTTGCTTGCTCTCTACGGGTTTTCAGGCGGCGAAGGATGGGAGGCTTGCACTGCGGGTGGGTCCGTGCTTTATAGGATTTTCTTTGCACGAGCTTCGAGCCTTCAGGGCTGCTTCTGAGAGCCCTGGGACGAAGCGTAGTTTGGTGAGGTCTCCGTTGATGGGCTTCAGCTGGTTGTTGATGTCGAGTTACTGGCCTCTGAGGAGCTTTTGCTGGATCTGCTTTTGCCCCTCCAGGATCTCCTTGGTGGTCAGGGCCCTGCTCTCGTGGTTCTCGTCGGCGACGCTGTAGATGAAGGCGTTCCACTGGGTGTTCACCATGGTCCTGAAGAGGTAGTTCCAGAGGGTGAAGCCGAAGCTCCAGTCTCGCCTGAATTGGGTTTCTGCCCGGCGCTGCATGGCTGTTGCCCATTCGAAGATCTGCACTTGGGGGGCCTCCGGGTTCTTGTCTCGGCGGCTTCCTTGCGCTGACGCCCGGTTGCCGGCTGTGCTGTTGCTGTTCTGGACGTCCGGACAGGCGGTGCCGTGGGCGAAGCAGAAGCTGAAGGCCGTGGCGAAGTAGAGCGGCTGGAACTGGTCCACCAAGATGTTGCCGGTGCGCACCTCCATGGTCCCGAGGACCTTCTCGTTCTCTTCGTTGCTGCGGAGCTGGGTTTGGAGGTCGTTGAGTGCGGCCGTGGCCACGGCGTTCTGGTCCTCGCGGTCCGTGCTGCAGCCTTCCGGCACGACGCCCCGGGCTCGCTGGTCGGCGAAGATGGCGCCGGCCCGCTGCATGTCCTGCTCCGGCGCGTCCGTCGGGGCGGCGGCCTTCTGCGGCTGCAGCTTGTGGGAGGTCTCGTCGTCCTCGCTCAGGCCGGAAATGATCTTGAGTACTTCCGGCGGCACGCCGCCCTCTGGCAGCTGCGATGCTGCCTCCCGCACATCCGCCATGCGCAGGTGCTGGAACGCGGGATGCCCGAGGCGCTGCATGTCGTGGATGAGGTTCACGACTACGTCTCGCCGCACGGTGGCCTGGTGGAGCAGCGTCTTGATCTCGGTCTCGCTCGTCTTGCCCGTTTTGTTCGTCTTGAGGAGCACCCTCGCGACCTCGGCGAGCGCCTTGCCTGTGCGCGGCAGGCTGGGGGGTGCTGCCGCTCCCGCTTGGTCCTGCTCCCTGGCGACTTCTGCGTGGTGTGCCTCTAGGTTGCGCAGGAGGTCTTCCCATGGGAGGGGAAAGGTGAGGGCGTTGCCGCGCGCGCCCAGGCGGTGACGGGCGTTCTGGGCTTTTTCGTCGAAGGTGGTCCCTTCGCTGCGGTGCCGCGCTTCCATGGACATGCACACCAGGGTCGTCACGCAGGGGCTTGCGCAGATCATTTCCATCACTGTGACCTTCTCTTCGTGCAGGCGCGCCGGGGAGTAGCCTGTCCACATGTCATTGCACAAGCTCAGGGGCGGCAGCTGGCCGTTGTCCAAGTGTTGCGCGGAGTCGCGGCAGAGGGGCACCTCGCAGTGCTCGCAGAGCGTGTGCTGGCTTGGGTGCTGGGGATTGGCGTGGCAGCGGTGGTCTTCTGGGCAGCAGAGTATGTCGCCGAGCCCGGGGATGGTCACGGTCCACTCGTTCAGCTCGGCCACGTCGGTGAGCTTGACGTCCCCGGCGAGGTCGCCGTAGAGCCCCAGGTACTTGTCGATGCTCAGGATGTCGTGCAGACGTTCGGTTGTCTCGGCGTGGGTTCTGTCGTTGCTGGGGGGACCCTGGATGAGCCTGCGCCAGCGGATGGGGCCCGCGGCCTCGGCGTCGGCCACGCGTGTGTGGATGCATGCGCAGCAGAAGCAAATGATCGCTTCCACCCTGTCTTTGCTGGTGGCTTCGGCGAAGCGCCGCAGCGCGCTTCTGTCCCGCGAGCTTCCTGCCACGGGTGCGGCCTCTCTGCACCGCAGGGCTATGGCTTCGTTGTAGACGCTGGCCAGTGCATCGGCCGGGATTGGCTTGGGTAAGTGCTGTGCGACGCTCTGCAGTGCTGTTGCGTGCTCTTGCTGGACGTGCTCTCGAAGCTCTTGCTCGGTGCCCGTGAGCAATGACCAGTTGCAGCTCTGGAAGGCGCAGAACTGTCCTGGCCAGGGTTCCCCACGGTCGAGGTCTTCGGGCTTGGCTCCGGGCGGTATCAGCGGCTGGGCCCGCAGCTGGGTGTGTGCGAGGTGCCGGAGAGCCTCTTCCAGCTTCCGCCGGGGGTGGCTGCTGTCCGGCGCCACGGGCATGCTGGTGAGCTCTTCCAGGAGGTTGGGCTCGTCCTGCGCCTCTGGCTCGGGCGGTCGCTTCGACGGCGTCTTGCGCGCCTGGGCCTGTTGATGGGCCTCCTCTCCGCCGGCGGCGGTTCTGCTGCGCTTGGCTGGGCGCGGAATCGGGTGGGGTGGTGGTGGTGGTGGTGGTGGTGGTGGCAGTGGTGGTGCTGGTGGCGGTGCTCGGTCTATGGGCACCAGCAGGTCGTAGTGGTCCCTGCCGTTGTACCAGAGATGGATCACTTCCGTGGCGTTCGGTGCTGCGTGCGGCCCGCGTGGGGCTGCTTCGTCCACGTCCGAGTGCGTGCGCTCGCTCGTGAGGATGTCGCCGTTTGGCGTCCGCCAGTGCAAAAGGACTCGCTGCTGCCTCATGCGGGGGAAAGCGATGATGGCCGTGTCGCCGCCCCAGTGACCCGGATCGCTTTGGAGGTATTGGCTTTCCTGTAGCCAGGCCTGCACTTGCTCTTCGTCTTCTTCGGCTTCTGCGTTCTCTCTGAGGTACTGGATGATTAGGGCTCGGAGGCATGCCCCTCTCTCGCCGGTGTTCTCTCCGAGCGCGTGGAAGAGGCAGTTGCCGTCGCCTGACATCTTCTTGATGGCCAGCTTGCCCCGAAAGTGCTCCTCTCGGGTGCATTGTCTGCTTGCCTAAAGAGCGCTCTTGACAGTGGATGCTCGAGGGAAAACGCCGGCCTCGACGCTGGGTCCGGGCTCCGTGTCGTGGTCGGAGTCCGTCTCGGCCCCCCCCTCGTCGCGCGGCCGGTCCTTCGTGAGATGGTTCAGCGGCATTCCTTGCGAGCTTTGCCGCTTCCACGGCTTCGTTTCTTGGCGGTGTTGCCTCGGCGGCTCTGTCGGCCTGTGCACACAGTGGGACTAGACGCTTGCCGGGAGGTGTTGTGCGCCTTTGGGGTGTAGCTTCTCTCCGGTGCCTCTGCTCGCTGGAAAGCACGATCCAGGGCTCTCTCGTCGTCGGCCGTCCATCGTGGCTGGCGCGGCAGTGGCTTTTTGGGGGCCTGCAGGTCACGATGCCGCGTACGGCTTGCTTTCTTTTTTTGTATGTCTTTTCTCGTGGCACAAGTCCTTACATGCATTCCGGCCGTGATGCCTTCTTCCGTCGGCGTGTTCTTGGCTTCGCGCCGGAGGGCGGGGTCGTGTCCCGTCGAGGTGCGGTTGTCGGGGAGGTTTTCCAGGCCTCGTGCGTGCATGCCCGTGTGCTTTCCTGGTATTTCTGAGGGCGACGGCACGAGGTGTCAGCGCGCCTCGTCGATCTTGATTGTTCCGCCCTCGGCCGGTGGGTTCGGTGCGCAGTTGCGCGACATACATGCGTGTATACACGGGTTCTCTCTTCGGATGCTCTGGGGCATGCACGGGCGTCAGAAGTGTCAGGCTGCATCTCCTCGCCAGGTAGTCCTTCTTGAACGCTTCGAAGTCCCAGCCGGTCGCCTCGTGGTTCGGTGCGCTGAGGCCGTTGACGTTTCGGGCGGGGTCGGGCCGTCTGCGCGTGTCGCATGCGATCCCGCCTGATCGTCGTCGTCTGTCATGTCGGCCCACCGTCGGCTGCTTTCGGGCTGCATGATGGCTTCACCTGCACGGGCGGGGGAGCGAACCGTGCCTGCTCTTTCTCTCTTACTGTCGGCAGCAGCTTCGGCCTAGATGGTTCTTCAGGAAGCGGATCTCTGCTTTTGAGGCTCGATCACGAATTGGGCTGCGGTGCCAGGTTAAGGTTGGTGTGCTCTCGCTGCAGGCACGATGTCAGCGTCGTTGGCTTGCTGCTTGCAGCCGATTTTTTTTTTTCGCTTCTGCTGCTGTGGCTGCAAGGCGCGGTGCTCCGATGTAGCCGTAGCCATTCTGTGAAACTGATTTTGGCTGCGGCTCTCACCACCTGCTTTCGCTTCTGCTGCTGTGGCTGCAAGGCGCGGTGCTCCGATGTAGCCGTAGCCATTCTGTGAAACTGATTTTGGCTGCGGCTCTCACCACCTGCTTCATAAACTGGACGGTGGTGAGGATTGTCAAGTGATTCGCAAGCTCTCCAAGCCGATTTCCTTCGTAAAATGGACGAGGATACAGATTGTCAGGTGGTGGGCGGGCTTTTCAACTGGACTCCGGCGGTCCTCGCGTAGTTGTACCTTGGCATTGGAAGGGAATCAACGTAAAAATAAAGCAAATATGGCCTTGTCTAGTTGCTGTCAAGATGCGACCAAAGCTGTACCTTGGCTGCGGACATGTACATGAAGTCTGATTGCAGCCAAATTGCATTCCAAGGTGGTATACATTGGCTGTGACGTGATGAATCAATGCATGTGCGGGAAAGTATGATGGTATGATGAAGCGTGAAGGTCTTTGAAGGCACCCCTTACCAGTGATATAGGAGGCTCATCTTGCATCTGCAGGGGCTCTCATCGCGGATGTATCTTCCTTAGGGCTTGGCTGGCAGCTTGGTTTGGAGCGGACCTGACGTACGACATGGAAGGGAAACTGCGAGCTTGCATGCGTGCAATTGCAGCTTAGTGGCCGTTTCTCATTGCCGTCCCTCTGGGAGTGCCTCGGCAGCGGCACAAAAAGGGCGGGATGCCAAGCTGACGTGGACATGTACGTGTCTGATTGCAGCCAAGTTGCATTCCAAGGTGGCATACCTTGGCTGGGACGTGCTGAATGAAAGCGTGTGTGTGAAAATATGATGGTATGATGAAGTGTGAAGGTCTTTGAAGGCACCCCCAGCATACTTAGCCTGGGATGGCCCAAGAGGTTTTCCTTCTAACGCCCCAATAAGCGAAACAATTCTGCAAGAGGTTTTTTCGTCTAACGCCCCAATAAGCGAAACAATTCTGCAAGAGGTTTTCATTCCTGAAGCCCCAATAAGCGAAACAATTCTGCCAGAGAATTTGGTTCCTAACGCCCCAATAAGCGAAACAATTCTGCCAGAGATTTTCTTTCCTAGCGCCCCAATAAGCGAAACAATTCTGCAAGAGGTTTTCCCTCCTAACGCCCCAATAAGCGAAACAATTCTGCAAGAGGTTTTCCTTCCTAACGCCCCAATAAGCGAAGCAATTCTGCCAGACTAACCCTTCAAAACTCACTGAAAGGCTTGTGCGGACTCGAGGTTTGCGTCTAGATTCTAGATGCACGCCATCCCGGCACGAAACTGTGCGGGGTGTTGAGTATGCAGTGGGAGAGGGCTAGTGTGGCGGCTAGCCTTGGTGTGTTTGTGCTTGCGTCATGGGTTACGGTGACCTAATTAACCTGCTGCTGGCAGAGCTCTTGCTGTCTGTGCTGCTCATGGTGCCAAAGCTTGAGTCC